AGTTTCCCTGAATGCACCCAAACTACCTGCTGGAAAAACATAAAACAAAGTTCTAGTACACTATCTGAAGGACACTGGTTATGAGAAAAAGTCTGAAAATTTCTTAGAGCTGCTGGCTTTTATAGAATCTGGATCCTTGAGTTCAGAGATGCTTACTCAGACTGCTTACCCTGGTAGTACCCAGTGGCTACCTGCACAAATACTTGGATCCAGTTGCCAAGGGCTGCCTTCCTGCTTTGCCATCTCATTCTAATAGTCACTGACCTTCTGATCAAGAAAGCTAACAAGCTCACCTTAGGCTGCAACCTACCTGTGCAGGTACCACATGTGTGCTGGACGTCCCGCAGTACCATGATGCCTGGCACTGAGTGATGACTGTTCTAACCTCCTGACAGATGCTGAATACATACTGTTTATAGACAGAAGTAGCTCTGTTAGGAATGAAGTTTGACAGGCTACATATGTTGTGTTCACCTAGGAGAAAACTATTTTGGACAAAACTCTCCTGCAGGAATGATCTAAATAGCAAACTGCTTCCTGTTACTGTTTGGGAACCTACCACCAATGACTAATGCAGTCTAGAGGCCTAAGCCCCCCATCCATTTAACTGAAACATCAACTCCAGCCACCAAATTTGCTGTCGTCACATGTTCTACAAGCTCAAGTCACAAGGCTGCTACCTGTGAGCTTGCAGCCAGCTCAGGCTTCAGTGTTTGTGTCATTGGCCCTGACTCCATGCATTATAGTGGGCTCTCCCCACTTAAAGATAGATAGAAAGGGAGAGAGAGAGAGGGAGGGACGGAGGGAGGGAGGGAGGGAGGAAGAGAAGGGGGGGAGGAATTAAACATCACCCTACAGAAACAGCTTGTAACTAGCTCTATAAAAGTTTAGCTAAACAATAAGCCATACCTGTAGGCACTCCTGTACACATATATCCGAGGTACACACTTCTATGAGTTTCAGAAATCCACCTTAGTTAGATCTGCTGGAAAATTTACCTGAACAGCTCCTCTGAGGCTTGCTTTAATGAGAAAATGCACCCACAGCTCTGCTCTGGTCACTCTGGACACTGACCAGTCTGTGAACGGCTGATGCCAGAGACCATCATCACTCATAGCATCGCTTCATACCTGTTCCCCTTGATTTTTGTGTCTTTTCAGGCTACTTGCTGCAGTCCTTATTTTCCCACCCCTGATAGCTGTGGTTTTTATTAACTGACTTAGATTCTGCGTACTCCAGTCTTTGCTTCTCCACTCCCTGCTAGCTGTGTTTTTGGCCTTAAACTCTATCAATGGTTGCTCCAAGAGAATAGAACAATCAAGCAAACACCTGACCAAGATTTGATGAGCGTCCAAGGCACACTAGATACTCTCCTAGATCAGATTAACTGCCTCACTCCCTTGTCAGAGTAATGTTAGAACAGACAAGTTTAAATCATGTCTCTTCCTGCAAACAACTTAGGGGAAAACTCTCTAATAAGGTAAACTTGGAGAGTTTGGTTAGGGCTCATCCTAGGATCCCTGATTGCTTCTAGTTGGGCACTGTCTCAGAAGATCATGCCCAGTAATATGCCCAGTAAAAGTTGGCAGGGGAAACTAAAAGAAGGGGGAAAGAGCAGAAGAGCCGCACCTTTGCCCTCCAGTACTTCAGTTTGTTAGTGCCCAAGTAATAATTCCTACTTCAGTTCTGGTTGCTCCGATCTCTTAGAAATGGCTGGTGACTGTCATGCGTAGCTGGTCACTGTGGTACACACTGCACAAGCCAATCTCTAATTGACAAGCCACTCTGCCTCTATACTTCTTGCTTGCTTATTTCACATAAGCCCAAGCCCACCATATATTCTGGGAATGATCCTGATCACTTCCTGTTGAGGCAAATACAGCTGCCTCCATACCTGGGTGTTGTTTTGGTGTTTCTGATGTTGTTGCAATGCATTCTAAAGTTTAAGGATCGTTGCTTCAGAGCAGTGCTTCTCAACTTGATGTGAAATCAAATGAGGGCTCAGTTTATTGAAACAGAAGAGAAATTGGATGCAGAGGCCCAGGGAGGGGTCTGCAAATCTGGATTTCTAACAAGCTCCCCAGGGTCATGTATTATGCTGACCTCTCAGTATATTGCTGGACAGTGTGAAGGTGAGCAATTTTATTAAGCAGTTCGCTTTTCTTTATTTTTGATCTTTAAAGGCCTATAGTTGTTACTTATAGTTTCAGAACCTGAACAATGTATTCATTCAATAATTATTCACTTAACAATCACTAATCACTTCCTATGTATCAATATTACGCCAGCTGGTGGGAATAAAGAGTCAGACATATGGTTCCTTTTCTACTTCAGTCAATGGTTAACAATGGAATCCAAAGTATTTGATACCTGAACTCAACTGATTCGCCGCAAAGGTTTACATTGCATAAGGAATTGTACAGGCTTAGACAACTGAGTCCTGGTTCTAACACGTGTGACTTTCTGTGCCAGGCAACACAGGGGATTAACTAGGAACCGAGCACCACCTAGGGAAGGTATACAGCTGTACAGGAAGGTCTGTGGCTCACAGCAAATGTGCTAGGGCACTGGAGAGCACAGAGAGAAACGCCAAAGCAGGGAGAGGAGAAACTCAGCTGGGAGAAAATTGGAAGGCGCTCCTGGGAGAGATAGAACTTGTTGGGGGGGATTCATAGGACTGAAAAGATTTCAAAAAGTAAAGTGAAAGGCACAGAGGTAAAAAAGTACATGGTATTTTCATGAAAAGAGAGATACTCATAACATTAACAGAGAACCTAACAATAAGACATCATATTAAGTGCATTCCATGTAGTGACAAAACCATGAAGAAGTACCATATATTTTCAGCCTTTAAAAATTGTAGTAAAGTTAAATTTTATCGCACTGCTCTTTTAACTATTTTTACATGGACAGCTCAGTGGTTTGTAAAGTACAGTCACTCTGCAATAAAAGACATCTGCAGAGCGTCCTCACCATGTGGCACTCTGTTCAGTGAACAACTTCCTCGCTTCCTTCCTCACATCCCTTTGTGCAGTGCGGTGATCTGATGCCCTACATGCCACGATGGGCGGTTTGTGTCACTGGAAGTCTAGAAGATTCACTAGTAGGGTGACCACTGTGCCGTTTTCTGTTTCCATGAATCTTACTACTGCAGAAGCCATGCAAAAGTAGTCATAAAGTATCTGTCTTTTTTGAGTGTTCTATTCTACTTAGTACAAGGCCATCAAGGTCCATCCACGTTATAGCAGGGAACAGTTCTTTCTTTCGAGGCTAAATCTTGTACGTATCAATCCCATCTTATTTGCCCATTCATCCATCACTGGATCTGCGGGTTGCTTCTGCTCCTTAGTTGTTGGGATTAATGGGGAAATATTTAAGTAGGCACTACTTAAATTGCAGAAAGTGTGGCTCAGAAAGGTGGAGTAACTTATCAAAGGTCACACAACAACTTGGGAGCCCCAACTCAATTTGGGCCTCAATTTGTACACCTTCTAAATATTTTGTTCTCATTTTATTTATCTAACTTGCTCACTAATTTTCTAGAATTCCAACATCATAAGCAACTATCATGTATTTAGTAAGATCTGCTAGACATAATTTTGCATAGTTTTTTTTCTCTTGACTTAATGCTTTGGTTCATATTTAGTATAATGCATAAGTAACACTTGTTATTTCCATTCCACATAAGACATCTGGGGTCACCCTGCCAGTGAACATTCCAAATAAGGTTTGAATCTAAGTTTAATCCCAAGGCTCACACTCTCCCACAGTGAGAAGCCAGGCCATCCTGCACCATCATCTTAGAGACCTCTATTATAAATAAGGAGCTTCTGTGTATCACCTTCAGGTTCACTTCTGAATTATGAGGAAAAAAACTGAATTATGTGCTAATCACATATCTGGTTCTTGTATCATGAATTCCCTGTTATCTACCGTTTCTTGGTATATATGCTGAGTTCCCAAAAAAGCTAAAAAAAAAAAAAAAAAAAAAAAAAAAAAAAAATTGAAGTTATAAATCTATCTCACTCAGCAGACTAAGTGCTTGCCTGGGAAGCACAAGGTCCTGAGTTCAATCCCCGGTACCGTAAAACAACAACAAAAAACCAAAATTAAATAAATAAATAAACTTATCTCATGGCCAAGGTAATACAGATTCTAAAGTGAATATAAATACTTTCAATATAAATATATAGGACAAAATCCATAGACTACAAATTAAACAACTTACCTACATATTTTATTTCAATTTATCTATATATCATAAAATTTCTATGTATAATTCTTACTTTTTTTTTTAACCTTTAATTTATTTGGTACAGGGTCTTGCTACACAGCTTGGACTCACAGTATCCTCCTGTCTCAGCTTCCCCAGTGCTGGGATTACAGGCACGCGCCACCATGCCCTCTCAATTGTTGTCTCAGCTTGCCCCAGGGGCGGGGCCAGCACAGCAGGCCCAGGCATAGAGCCCCCAACCCCTGCTTGCAGGAGCTTTAATACACTGAGCTATTTGGCCGACCCTAGTCTTTAGTATTTTGTATATATACACTGCTTTACTACCTTTAAGCAACACTATGATTCCAAATTATGACCGTTTTCTTCCTCTGTAGAAATTGGTCAGATATTCTTGTCATACTTGGTATTCAGAAATTTCATTATGTATTTTGGTTTAGATAATTTTTCAATACATTTTTAAAATCAAAACAAAATCTCCTTTCTTATTAATATATCTGACTATAGATCACAATATCATATGCATTTCACAAAGAACTGAAAAATCTTGAAGGAGCCTCCAGCTAGAAATGATAAGGAGAAGGGCTGGCTAAATAGCTCAGCAGATTAGGCAGACACAGGGACCAGGGTTCTATCCTGGAGTGCTGTGCCAGCCCGACCCCTGGGGCACACTGAGATGTTTGATTGGGACTGGGTGTGGTGGTGCATGCCTGTAACCCCAGTGCTTGGGAGGCTGAAAACAGGAGGATCACTAGGAGTCCAATTTGTAGTGCTCGCTTCGGCAGCACATATACTAAAATTGGAACGATACAGAGAAGATTAGCAATTTGTAATGAGAACCTGTAATATATATATATATATATATATATATATATATATATATATGAAATGATAAGAAGGAAATGCTAATTCCTCTGACATGATCAATGTGCATTTTTTCTTAAATTGGTTCTTTGATTTTTCCTTCCTATCCCTCTATCCTCTCTTTCTAATCTCAATTTTTTTTTTAATTGGTAACAAATCATTTCAGAATAGAATTTATTCTGTTGTTTTCAGGTGGTAGCTTATATTTCATGCCACCTCCTTCTTTGTACAGTTGGGGAAATAGCTGGGTGGCATAAGCACCTGCCTGGCAAGCATGGCATGCTGGTCCTGGAACCAGGCATGGTAGTGCACATACGTAATCCCAGTGCTGGGGAGGCTGAGACAGGAGGATCACTATGAGTTTGAGTTGTATCAATAAAATAAAATAAAAAATTTTGTTCAAGTTTCATCAAAGATTTTTCTGGTTCTTATTTTTGTAATTTGTATTTCTTGAGGGGGGGACATGAGGGGTTGGAAATATGTCTATCTGCCATTTTCATCTTGGAAGTCTCTCTTGTCTTCATGTATTTTAAAAATTGTTTACAAAACAAATAATTTCTCCAGTTCCTTATCCTTTAAAACAGCATATGTAATTACTCATCAAAAGTAAATTAAACCTATAATTGCACATATTTCTTTTAATTGTACACTAACAGGCATATCTAGAAATGAGCCTGTAATTAAGCACTCTGCATGCTGCTAAGCCATAAATAGATGTTAAAATTGTTAAGGGTTAAATAGAACCAAGCAAATAAAAATAACTTGAAAATTTTTTAAGATTTTGTTATATAACAAAAACTATTTAAAAAATTCACCAATGCTTATTCGGATTAGAATCACCCAATTTAAACATTTCGGTTGTTGATAAGGCATGAGCGAGTTTTTGTTTTTAAGGCAAAGTGTGTGCTTTCCTGTAGTCATGGCCTTTCTGCATCATTTGACAGTGAGGTATCTGAATCATTGTTTGAGAGAATGAAAGCTAAGATTTACGTTAGAAATTAGGTGGTAAGGTATTTTTTTTTAATAGTTTAAAATAATGAGAATTATTTATCCTAGAAAAAAAGAACAATAGGGAGAAAAAGATAATCAACTTCCTTTAAAAATAGCCTTAAAAGGTCCGGCCAGATAGCTCAGCAGATTAAAGCGTCCACTTAGGCAGACATAGGGACTGGATCCCCGGCAGGCCATGCCAGCCCCACCCGGGGTCACACTGTGACAGTGATTGAGAGTGGGCATGGTGGTGCGCACCTGTAATCCCAGCACTTAGGAGGCTGAAAACAGGAAGATCACTGTGAGTCCGATTTGTAGTGAGACCCTGTCGACCCTGGACTAAATATATTTTTATTATTATTATTATTTTTATTTATTTTATTTTTTTTATTTCTGTGTATGTGTGGCCAGCTCAGCCCACCAGGGGGCGGGGCTGGCTGGCATGTGGTGCTGGGGGATTGAACCACGGTCCCATGCTTTGCTAAGCTTGTTCTAAGTAGGTGCTTTAGACCACTGAGCCATCTCACCAGCCCCTAAATATATTTTTAAAAATAGCCTTAAAAATAACTTTTATAACTGAGAACTCATCATGTAAACATGCAATACTCACATCTGGGTCATGTAGCTATATACCTGGAAATGGAAAGAACCTAAAAACTTTTCCAGGCATCTTACTTTTGGAAAGATTTTTATATTTTCCTCAGGATGATGTTAATCATTATAACATAAATCAGAGTAAGCCCATGTAAGGTTATTACTGTGATGATCAAATTCTTACTTTGCAGGAAATAATACAGACAATCCCTAACACGGCTCTGCTTACGATCCCTCACTGTGTGATAGGGTACCGTGACGCCCATTCATTCTTCACCATACTTCACAGCTTGGGCTTTCCTGGGCTACCCACATGCCTGGGGAGATGCATCTGTGATGTGTGGAGGCGGGTGAAGGAGCCTCCATAACCCGCCTGCCCCCCGTCCGAGAGCAGCCAACCAGCCACACAGGATTGCTAGGCCACACGCTCTGTAGGTCGGTACGCTGACTGCACCACCTATACACTATTTCCATTTATTACAGGCTTATCAGGACCTAAAAGGCCAAGGAATATCTGTTATACATTTACTTCTTCAAATCTTCCTTGCTGATATGTTTATATACACAAAATGTACTAAATGTGGGATGTTTTGCTAATCTTTTTTAAAAACACAGCCAACTCCTTCAAAAAATAACCAATTCGCACAGTTACTCTCATTGTTTTCTAACATAGTCTTCTCACAGCTGAGATCATCCTGCATGAAGGAAGAGCACTTCCTAAGGGCCAGGCGCCTGCCCCGTTCACCCGCAAGGTGTCTAAATCCTATTAGAAGCATTTAAGGACCATTTTCCAGATGGGAAAATGGAAGAAAAACAGTCTCAATACATTGCTCAAGACCAGACAGTTACAAAGCATGCAACTGGGACTCTGGCATAGAGCTACCCGATGTTAAGTCATATTACATACTACATGTACTAGGTGGTGCAGTCAGTGCACCGACCTACAGAGTGTTGTGGCTTAGCAATCCTGTGCTGCCAGTTGGCTGCGCTCGCTCAGCGGGCGGGGTACACAGACTCCGGCTGCCACCACCACACATTACAAATGCATCTCCCCAGGCGTGTGGCTAGCCCAGGAAAGACCTTTACTTCCCCCCTCCCCACTTTTTTTCCCTGTCTTTTCTTTTTCTTTGCCTTACTTGGGACTGAATCCAAGCTCTAACTAAAACCACAACATTTCTGCTCTATATAGGTAGAGATTCTCCAGTGAAGGAACGAGCACTTGTCTTCAGTGGCAAATCACACGTAATCTCTGCAAAGCTATGAGTAAGATAATAATCATATGCTTTACTTTATAGGTAAAGTATAGAAAGCTATAGGTTTGTTTGCTCAGGAGGGAAAATATAACATTATCTTCCATATTTACTCTAGGGCATACAAATTATCTTACTAACATAAAGAAGAAACGGAAGTTGCTTGATTACTTACCCCAATATTAAACATTCCTGCAAAATACTCCATATTTGCTTGAATGAACCAAATGTTGCTTAAACCTAGTTCATCACTTCTCTTCTTAGCACGGATTAATGACAATTCTTTGTTTTCTATTAATATAACCTATATTTTACCCAGAAAAAGAAGAGTTTAGTCAGTAACGTTATTCAGACTTCGTTACAGAGCTTTATTACCATCTCACAGCCTGAACAACATGCATACGCTGCAGTGACCCTCTATCCTGTGCCAGGAACTGCGCTAGTTACCCTGGCACACACATCAGTGAGGCCCTTGGACCCTTGAAAAGTCAGTGAGTAATATTCGCTATCAGTGAAAAGAGCAGCAATCACATTTTTGTGTGTGTCGTTTACTTCTGAAATGGCGGGCATGATCTTCCTGCCTGAGCCTTCCGAGTAGCTGGGGTTGCAGGCATGCATCTCCGCAGCAAGCTGGTGATAATATTTAATGAGAGGGAAACAATGCACAGTGGGGGCACCCACAGTTGATAACGAAGGAAGATTTTCATGGAGAATTAACTGAGGGCTACAATAATAGACTGAGGGCTACAAAAATAGGCTGAGGGATACAAAGTGAACAGCGATTAGCCAGGGAAAGAAAGTATTTCATTTAAGAAAAATGTGCGGAGGCCATGATGGGAGAGTGTGATGCATTTGAAGGCCCGAGAAAGCTGGCATCACAGGTCCACGTGTGAAGTGACAGAGGGGACAGGCAGCAAGGGTGGAGAGGGTAGAGAGGTAATGGGGGCTGGACAGCACATTAGGATAAAAGAAGGTTCTGCCAGCTGCAACCAGAGAAATACAGGTCGGGAGAGGGAAGACAGAAGGCAAGGAAAAGTCAGGAGCTTCCAACAGGAACCACAAGGAGTAAACACTCTCTCCTCATGTCATTTCTACATCCTAGTTTGTCCTTACACTTGCCTGCACAGAAAATCCTGAATTCTGTATAAAATCTGTTAGAGTACAGAGTACACTTCGCATTAAAGGCTTTCCAGCCTTTATTCTAGTCAATCCCTTCTCAAATGGCAATCTATCCAAAAGTCTAGGAAAGTTATCAGGAAGGGAAAGAAGAGAATACACCCCTCTCAGCAGATTAAGTGCCTGCTTAGGCAAACACGGGGACCACATGCTGCACTGGCCCATCCCTGGGCACACTGACCCGGCCACACCGATCAGGTGTGGTGGCACAGGCCTGTAATCCCAGCACTGGGAGGCTGAAAGCAGGAGGATAACTACCAGTCCAACCTGTGCAGTGAGACCCTGTACCAAACACATTAAAAAAAAAAAAAAGACTACTTCCCTGACTCTGCCTTGCCAGGATTCTACTCCATAAGTTCTCTTCTTCCTTATCAAGAAATTATTATTTTCTTTCATAACAAAGCAAGGAATTTCCTCTTCTAAATTCCTCTAGTTTATTTAGTCTTCAATGTCTAAGAAAAGAGAACACTCCATCCCCAGTCATTCTCTGGTTTGTCACATTTTTTCTTCTGAAAATATTCAGTGTAATTTATGCACACCTTCCAGAGAGCTCAGAAAGACTCTGTCCTAGCTAAATTTGTATTTATTTTTATAAAAGGGTAGGGGGAGGAATGACTCCCCCTCATGACTTTTGAGTTAAAAGAGGGCTACTTTGGGGAATCAGTTTAACATGGTGGGAGATTAAGTACAAGCGTCTAGCCAACGGTAGCAACAACTGAATAGGTCATGGTACATCTATTTAAAAAGGCACTACACAGTCACTCAGATATGATCATGTACAAAATTACATTCCTGAGTGGAAGCAAGGGTTAAAACTGTATTTACACTTATAGTTTCTAACAGCAATGTCCATATGAACAATGATTTAATGAGAACAAAAGAAGAAACACATCTGATGAATCGATACACTATTTAGGCTTTTTCTTTTCCTAAAATCTTTGTTATTATTGTACTTTTGATGCAGTAGATCAAAAGAATACCAAAGAACATCCTAATGTAACTGTATCTAGAAGCCAGTATTTCTAGATATCATTATATTAAAAATTAAGTAAGTTTAATCATAATTATTTAACAGTGGGAAAGCTATTTTAAAAAGTAATTAAACATATACCTTTTTTTAAAAGTTGGTAACTGTTTTATGGTTGTATTTTATCTTTTTCTCCCCTTTTAGATTCTGACCTCAGAAATTTACTTCAAAGGTAAAAGAAAATGCCTATGCCACATAATTGACTTGGAGAGTGACCAGGAACTTCAGAACAAGGGTAAGGCCGACGTGGCTACCTGACTGTATTTAGCTGAAGTGTCCCCCTTTATCCACCATTTAGAATTTACCTGGCAGGAGGGCAGCATGTGAGCAAGAACAATTCCAACATGGCCCTGGAAAAAGGTGGTAAAAGAAGGAAGTTAGCTTTGGTCTTCACGGCCTCTGCTCATTCCAAGACGACAACAACATGACTCGAATGTGACATGGAAGAGGCATACAGTCTTGCAAGGATAAAGAGAGACATGCGATACCCCGCCACTGCAGAAGTCCACAATCCTGTCACCGGGTTTGGCCTGACTCATCACCACATAAGCGAGGTTGTTGAGCTGCTGCTGCTTCCTCAGAGCTCGGTCACTGGACATCCGGCCTGGGGAGAGAAGCCATGAGGAAAGCGTTACACACTGGGAGGGACTGAGTGTTGGAACAGACTCCCGGGCACAGGAGGAGGACACACGCACACACAGAACAACGGGACAAGCTTCATATAATTGACTATGAGAGGACTGCAGAGATTAATTCTACTGCTGCTTTTTCAACTTTTGATTTGCTTATCTAATTTATCTTTTGCAGAAATAAAATGTCTTTTGGTGAGTAGAAACAATAAGTGAAACATAATTCACAATGAAAAGCAAAATGTGTAACAAATTTTAGCTAGATGGGGAAAAATGTCAGTGACCATCAACTCCCTGTGTCACTCTCAAACATATATAGCAACGTCAGTGTACTTGAAATAACATCCCTTAAATCTCCTTATAAAAGGATGTAAAAGAAGTGAGTGCATTTCTGCCATAACTGGCGCACTCCTGAACCCTGAATTCTTCTGTGAGGGCATCTGGAAGCCTTGCACCATGGCTGCCGCACTGACTGTAGTGATGGTGGGTGTATTTACAGAGATTTAGCTAACTGGTGAGTTTCTTAATTTTCTCTTTCTTTCCGTCTTTCTTTTTTTCACTTTCAAGCTTCCTTTCCTCATGACTCAGACAGAGAAATGCAATGCAATTATAGATTAAAGATAGGGCATTTCCAAGTATAAAATGCCTTAGGCAAAGCAGCGTGAAAGTATCTTAACCTCACTTCAAAAGCCACCAGTCAAGTCCACAAAAATATTTTTAGAAGGATAAAAACAGTATTTGTTTTCACATATTTCAAGTGCATTCTTTACAACAGTGGTTTTTTAATGACACCAAGGTTTTTGGGGTCCATTTTAACAGAAAAACAGCATATCACTTTTGTCTTTATTCTTTCTTTACTTTATGTTACTAGATTAAAGAGCATTATGAAATTTTATTTTACAACAAAATAGAAAATTACAATCTTGTAATTCAGAAGATTTATATAAATAATGTATTAAAATGTATATATGTTATATTCATATGTATTAACTTTCTAGTCAGCATATAAATTATTGCATCTTTTTTATGTCACTGATCTCTCTATACTGTATACTCCAATGACTATATAGCATTTTATTAACTATACACCCTAATTATATAATCAATTCTCTGCTGTAATGATATCTTTGTTACACAGTTAGATCTTTAAATACAATCAATTATTTAGCACAGTCTAAAGTGAATTTCAAACATGGAGAGTTTATTAGTCAATAGTGTGGTGACTTCATTCATGAAGATATTTCAATGTGGCTTTTAAAGGAACTATCTACATTTTTCTCTAATAAAATAATTGCAAAAAAATTTAAACATGAGGTGAAAGCCCTGAGGTAACCCCACCCTTTATAGCTAACCTCTCCTAAGTGGTTTTATTAAGAAAAATTTTTCCCTGCTGAAACAGGAGGATCACTATGAATCCCAACTGCACAGTGAGACCCTGTACCCCCCACCCCAAAAAAGAGAAAAATTTCAAAACACATAGCACAAAGGAAAGATCCTTATAGTGGACATCTTTGTATTAAGTCCATTTTTCATCACTATAATGAAATACCCAAAGCAGTCTATTTCAGAAGGAAAAGGGGCTTATTTAGCTTAGCTTTGGAGGATCAAAGTACACCCAGGGCGCTGGCTGTTGTGAGGGCCTACCGGTGGCAAGTGGTGCTGAGAAAGAATCAGCGTCAGGTTTTATTCCTAACAGTTTTCCCTCCGCAGGGCTCACACCAGCGGACCAGAACTCCTTGCCAAGGTGGTACCTGAGCGCCCTCTCTACTGGGGACCAAGTTTCCACAGCAAATCTGGAGGACAAGCAACATCCAAAGCACGGCACCTCTGCCCCACACACGCACTGCACCTGTAGCAACTCCCTGTACTGTGCTCTTCACACTCTATCCAGGCACCCCCTATTCACCATGACATGCCTTACTTTTTATGGCAGTATACATTTAATTTGGAAGAAAAATAGGAAAAGTGGAGAAGAGGAGGGAGGAGGAGTCAGAATACAAAACAAAACAGAAGTCCTCTGGGGCTCTTTGGAGAGCTCGGGTCGCAAATTCTGCTACTAGCAGGAGCCGCCACGAAGCAAGGCATGAGCACAGGCACTTCTGGCTTTGCTCTGCTGATGGATTTCCTAGTAGCTCCTAGTTGAAGGATTTTTGTAGAAGAAAGTCAAAAGAAATTATCTTTTTCTGAAGAACCATAGTCAGGCAGGAAAAATTTATTAAATGGAATATAGTAATTAAGTCTTATACTACATTTCTATTAGAAATTTAGAATTACCTAAAACCCTCAGGGCTGTTTCTGAAGCCAACGTTGATAAAGATTTTCTAAGACTCCGTGTGTGTGTGTGTGTGTGTGTGTGTGTGTGTGTGGCACAGAGGTAGTTGAGAGACTGCTATGTTACAATATTCACCAAAGGTTGAGCTAAAAATACGGCAGCCAGATGTCCCAACACTTTATGGAAAAATTACCTCTAATAAAGAATTCCCTCTTCCATTCCAGTTTTATAAACACTATGAAGCTTCTGGAAACATGATCTGAATCTCAAATGTATTAAAAGAAGGTAAAAAATAAAGGTATTTTGGGATATGGTATTAATTTAAAAATCAAATCCTACTTTCCATTTTTATCCAGTATCCTTGTGCTTCAGACATCATTTAGAAGCAAACACTTAAAACCTATTTTTAGTTGGACTAAAAGGGCTAGTTCTTTATGTGCAATGGAAAAAGAAATCCAAAACCAGAACACTTTAACCTCAATGAGGAAGTTTATTCTGTGATGCACTTCTGCAATGGCGTCTCTAATCCAAGGTGGGATTCCTTGGGTTACTTAGACAATTTTTGTGCTGTTTACATTGACCCCCAAAGCCAACACAGGGCAGAAGCCCCTTTGAAGCCAAGGAGAAGACAACTAAAGGACCAGCATTTTCATAAGGTTCAGAATAACAAATAATGCAAACTAATCTTAGTGCTAAAAGTGCCAGTGTGCGGCCAGGCTACCTGCTCAGTCTCATGATTTATGTCCAAAATCAGGCAGCTCTTAACTTTTGTTTCTTAGCCTAAAGCAACAAAGTACCTTGTATGTTACACTGGTTATAAGAATGAAAATGGTTGGGTTGGATACACATGAGACTTGATTTCTAAAATTCTTTTGATATTGTTTTCAAATCTTTTTCTTTTCTTTTTTGCAGTACCAGGGATTGAACTCAGGACCTTGCACTTGCCAGGCAGATGCCTATACCACTGAGCTATATCCCCAACCTGTTTAAATCTTTTTTTTTTTTTTTGAATTGTTGCAAAACTGTACCCCATGAACTTTTAAGAAACATATACAATTAAATATGAAGATTAAAAAATTGTTAAAATGAATGGCTTAGAGATTTTTAAAACAAGATTTTACTTGAAAAGCTGTAAAATCAAGAGAGCAAAGCAAATTTCTTCCACAGAGATTGCTGTAGTACACTACTCTTTCAGGGGAGGCGTGAGACAACAAGAACAGGCCAGGTGACATGCACCTGATGACAGGGAAAGGGGAAGGCAATAACCACACATTTTAATGTTTGTAAAACAGCCTGCTCAGCAGCAGCAAGACGGGTGAGCTGGTGAACAGCTCTTTCCTATGCTTCACAGGGCCGTAGGCAGGCGAGCCCTGACCCCATGCAGGCATCATTTTCTTGTTTAACAACTGCCAGGCCCTATGACATGCCCAGCATGCGTCCGTATGCCGAGGATACATCTCTAAGTGAACAGCAATCCCTGCCTCCAAGGAACCAACGGGACACCTACGAAGGGCTGTGCGTATACAAGCTCTGCAGCAGTGGGCACACTGAAGAAGCAATACTACTGTGGAGACGTTAGTGAGGACTTCATGAGGCTTAGAGCACTGCAGTGTACTCGAGAGAAACAGAAATTTACCACAAGACCCAGCTGGGAAACCAGATCCATAGAGTCTGGCTTCTTTAAGGAAAACCACATTGAGCCTAACGACGATGGATTGATGGGGAGGTAGAACAGCAGGTGCGCCTGGCAGTGTCAGCAGGGCCAGATGGGAAAGGCTGCTGCCTACTAGTTGTCTCTCCACATGCTGCAGAAAACATGGCCTTGCTCTCATAATAAAGTGAGTCCCTTAGAGATTCGTTTTATGTGAATAAATAGCACTGGGGCTGGGGAGGTAGCTCGGAGGTCTAAGTGCCTGCCTGGCAAGGACCCAGGTTTGATCCCTGGTACTGCATGCTGTGCTGACCCTGGAATCCCAGGCGTACTGTGCCAGTCACTGAAACCGGGCTTGGTGGCACAGGCCTGTAATCCCAGCACTGGGGAGGCTGAGACAGGAGGGTCACTATGAGTCCCAGCTGCATAGTGAGACCCTGTACCAAATAAATAAATAAATAAGAGATTAAAAATAAATAGCACTGTCATTCTTACATATTACATATATTCTCTTAAAATGCTAGCTTGTATCATTTTCATCCTGGATAATGTATATTTTTAAATTTGATAACAATTATTCCTAAACTTTTTAGGCACATTCAAGCTCAGCTGATGCTCAGTGCCATTAATTGATTCAATTAAAGTGGAACTGAATCAAGCTCACTGAGCCATTTCTAATCCTGGTGTTCTAGATCAAGGCATCTCATGAACTCCACACTGTGGCCTCCTTCCCAGGCTCCTCTTCTGCTGGAATATTCAGGTGCTGTGTTCAGTAGCTCCTCTCTGCACCGCAGCTGATCCCTGAGTAGGCGTCCCCACTACTGGGACAAATACCCACAATACCTCCAACCCAGAGGAGGAGAGGTTCAATTGGGTTTATGGTTCAGAGGACTCAGCGTGTGGTCGCCTGCCTCCAAGGCAGAAACAGCATGGTGGAAGGGGCGTGGAGCAAAGCTGCTCACTTCATGGGGCCGGCACATGGCAGAGACAGAGAGCTCCTGTGAAAGACGCACCTCCCAAAGGCACAGTCCCAGGGCTCACCTACTGCAACT